TATTTGGGTTTTAATGAGTTTCCTCCACTATTAACTGCATAGTCGTAAAAGGGGAGGGAAAAAACGCCTATAAAAGGACATTACGTTTTTACCCATTGATATTTTGCTTCGTGGCGAATAGTGCTGCATGCGAATATGCTCACTCGACTCGAAATAGGTAGTTTTCTATCACCATTCAACTGCATCTTTGTACTAAACTTAATAGCGAACCACCTTAAATGTCTACCTGTTAAACATACTTTAGATAATACCTCCCAATGGAAAAACTTGGAAACCATCTCATTGTTATCTATCATTTCTTTGTAGTATATACTTGAGTTTCTACTTTTCTACTATTGAATATTGAAATAAAATTAACAAGGATTTTAAATTAAGTTAAGTTAATTTAAGTTAAGTTACAAAATTAAGTTGTTGTTAGTTTACATAAGTTTAGAATTAATAAAGTTTTGTTATTTTAGATTATGTTTAGATTAGGTCGTACCAGTTTTGATTACATACATCGAGCTTCTTCTTGAGACCAGCCTTATGCTAATGATTCCAAACGATTTTCTGTATAATCTTTAATTCCTGGGCTATAGAATAAGTGGATTTGACGATTTCCATGATTTTATCAACATTTTTTACTATTGGCCTACTAGATCGTATCTCATCTTCGACGTTCATTCGATACTGTATTGGGTTCATAAACAATACAATTTTTTATGGCCGTCTGCTCCGATTTTCCCCTTGGTCTTAGTGGTACTGAAGAATGTATCAAATTTTCTCTTTTTTACGTCCATTTTCGAAAGCTCTAACACAACTGGATTCACTAAAAACAAAACTGTTAAAGAACTTTCTTTAAAGCGTTATGTCGTCTTTAAGTCGCAGTATAGAACGACAAGATGCAAGGTATACATCGTGGCTCACTAAAGCCATCTAACAAAAAACGCTCACAACTTTTTACTTCACCTAATAAATACAATAATATAATTGAAATTGATAAAATTGTAAGTTTATAAAATGTATATTAATATTGTTAATTAAGGCGTAAAATATGAAATTAGGTTTATGTATACAAGTGTGGATATGTATTTAAATTATAATACTACATTTAATGGCATTAAGATTATCTCATATTCGTAATGCATGTTTAAACCAAAACAAGCCTGCTAACCCATTTATCTGTAGACTGGAGTTCTATTCAATTACGCCTCTGCGCAAGTATGCACTGAAATGTGTTTGCGAACTTGATTACATCTGCCTATATGCATGCATTTTGTATGGCAAACAATTTGTAGCCGACCTCTGTTGCGTTTTCTTTCATGTTCATCATCATGTATGTTTTTGCATCAGAACGAAATAACAAGCAATGTTTTCTTGCATGTTCTTTTTTTGTTTGAATCCGCTTAAAATGAACGTAAACATTACACTTTCGCGGTTCAACATTACAAAAAAATATCCAAATTTGTTTGAACTATTTAAATATATTTTTTATTATTATTCTATTTTAACATAAAAAAAATATAAAATGCATATATTTGGCCAAAGACTATAGACATTATTTTTATGTCAATCAATCAAAACTTAAAAATATTATCAATATGTTGGGGTAGATAAAATTGGCTTTTATAGGTAAATATTTATATTATTATACATAAAAACAGTATAATTTTATAACAAGTATTGAGCTTTTTTTTCAGATAGAAATAGAATGTGTATCAACTTAAATTTGTTTTACATATTTACGTAAATACAAAATATTTAATACATTTAGGAAAATCACAAAAAATACAAAATTATTTGAAAATATTATGAATCAATTGTGTAAAGAAATATTTTTATAGTTTTACTTAATAATAAGTAATATTTTATTTGCTCATTAGTAGTTCTGATCAGGTACAAACAACATGTAACAAGAGTATTTTATTCCTTATGATTACATAAATACCACGTGCTACTACGCAACATAATTTGCAATTTACGTGTAGTGTATTCATTTCCTTATTGGTATTGCATGATCATCAAGATTATTACAATTAATTACACTCATTTAAATCTTTGACCTACTTTCACTGTTTAAAATCTAAATGAACCACGAAATAAAACTGAATTTAAAAAAAAAAACTTTCTTTCAAACATGCAAACTTAATCTAAGAATTGAATTGTTCATTCATTTAATGTAAACGTTTTCATTTACATATCTGATATCTATCATAACTTTGATATATTATATAATTTTTGTTAATATTTCATAAAATCATATACATATTTTATCGTATTAGAGATACAAATTTATGTTTTTTTTGTAACTTTTAATGCAAAATTTTACTACGAAAAAAATAATTGAAAAAGACATGGATTATTACGAATAAGCTTATATTATTTATTTTATAATTGATTGTTGAAATATTTCTTTGTATTCTCTCAGTGTTTATTATTAAATTAGATTTCGCCGCGGAACAAAAGCAAGACATAATTAAAGACCTGATTCATAGAAAATATATCTCCTGGCAATTTCCTTTACGTTACATAATAAAGTTATGAAATTACTGTTTCCATTTCTATATACGCATATATTCTCTTATCCATAATTCGGTATGGAGAATCCATTACCTTTGGTAAGTTTTTTGTGTTGTCATAAAAGAAGTGTTACGATTTTGTGGTTATGTTAGTTTTTATTCCAATCGATTTATAACTAATATAGACAGTGTAGTAACAGAAAAATATAATAGTTAGTTTGTTTTTTTAAATGTTTCAATATTGATAATATTGTTAAGTCACTACAAAGTGCTGTATTATATAGTGATTGATGAACTGTATTGCACAAGGTATTGTCACGTTTTTTTACAAAAGTAACTTCCTGTTCCCTTTTGATGTATGCCAGGAAATACAAATTCCATAGATTTGGAATATGATGAAAAGAACAGAAAAAAACTGGCTTTTGTTTTATGAGCAAATGTATTTGAAAAGGACGAGGTCGTTTTTCTATCCATTTTTCCACTATCCGTGTCTATCTATATAAATGGATGAAAGACATGACAAATTGTGGTTAAAATTAATAACTGTTTTTTTATCCGTCCGCTGTTTTTGCACGCGATTTTTGTAGTTGACAGAATGCGTGCATGGATGTACATCAAACAGAGGCGGTGGCAGTTGTAAAATTCATTAAATTCCTATATGCGACGAGGGGTGGTAGCAGGAGGAAGAGGTGGAAGAGGCAGTAGCGGCGGCGGCGACTGCTGCTGCTGGATTTTACGACGCGCCATATTCTATTTACGATCCCAAAAGCTCGTCCCCATTTCACTCCATCCATTACAGCATCTCTCTTCTTCTACGCTACAACTACTAGTACTACTACTTCTCAACCACCCTCCACAAACATCCCTTCAAAGTCTGAAACCAAGCCGCATCCAAACATAACGCAGACTAGTGTTTATCCACAAGGGAAATTTCGAATGATCGCAACGATAATGATATTAATAAACACGCTACACATACGATGCTCCGTGTGTCATTGCAGAAACGAGCAAGTGAATTACACCCGTCAATAACTTATGTAAACATTGAAAGCTACGATCCGTTTCCGTGCGTATTATTGCAGCATTTCCATAACGACGAAATATCGTTTGGAAAAACGATAATGTCGATGAAAATACTGGTCGTAGCGATTAATCGCTATTATCGTGAACGTTACTGATTGGACTCATTTGCAATACTGAAAACATGTAGTGGAGTATATGGGTCAACGTAATTAACAGATCGGAATCGTCAATAACGAATATTAGTTTTACCATTTGGAATTGCGGAAAAGGAACTATGAATATTAATGTCAACGAAAATAAAGTTTAAGCATCTAAAGTCAATCATATATTAATAGTTTTCTTCATCTTTAAACTTAAATAGAGCAATTGGAAATCTCATATTTCATTTATATACTTTAGTAAACTTAGTTCATCAAAATAATGAACACATGAGCAAAAAAATATTTCTTTCTAATTAACAGATAAAATTATTTTAAAATCAAATACTCAAAATCTGGTAATTTTATATCAATTATACACTACAGATAAACCAACAATAGAAAAAACAAACATAGCAACATTTGCAGATGGCACATCAATCATAGCATCAGACGAAAGTGCCATAATTGCATAAGCTCTTCGAGATATGGTTTAGGAAATAGAGAATTAGTATAAATTAGTCGAAATCGGTTCATGTTACTTTCACCTTAAAACGAGACACCTGTCTTCCAGTAAAACTCAACAACAAAGTAGTTCCAGCATCTTCAAGGGTGAGATACTTGAGAATGCACCTGGACATGAGACTGACTTGGAAGGATCATATCCAAGCAAAGCGCGAATAACTAAAAATAAAATTTAAAAAGATGTATTGATTGCTCCGCTCAAATTCGCAGTTGACTTTGGAGAACAAGTTGCTAGTGTACAAAGTCATATTAAAACCAGTTTGGACATACGTTATCCAATTATGAAGAACAGCAAGCTCAACTAATATTGCGCCATGGCACATCACCAATAAGAGACTGCACCAGGACTTTGGAATAAAAACAGTGGAAGAGATTGCCAAAGACTTCTCCAAAAAATACACGAACAGGCTTGATTCGCATACGAACCCGTTGGCGGTCAACCTTCTCGATAACGGCGAGACAACGAGAAGATTGAAGCGCTAGGATCTTCAATATAGATTTAAGTAAAGAATAAATAAATATTATATACAAACGTTTTGTATATGAAAATAAAATTTAACTCAAATACATGTATCATATATGTTATTTACTACTAACCATATTTTATTAATTCTATTAAAAAAAAAACTTTATGCTTTATATTGTTATGGCCTTTCCTATCATAGCTTTTATATCATATTGTAATTAGTTCGGTATTTTTATTTATCGTTTGTTTTCCAAAATTTACAAATATTAAGAGATTGTATATTCACTTATGTCATCCTTTTTATGCATTTATAAAGTATTTAAACTTGATTTCTTCTTTCTTTAATTTCAGATTGAAATACCGTCTCAACAATGATATGTTTAAATTCAGCATCGCACTGCCAATTTCTGAAGGTACAGTATTATTTTTTATTTACTTTTTTATTATTACTTAATTTAAATTTAAATTAATTTATTCTCTAAACAATAAAACTGCTTTATTTTACAAATTTAAATTAGTTTATGTAATAATAATAAAACTATTTCAATTTTTTATTTATAGATAAATCTTAAAATAATTACATGAACCAAATGTTTGAAGTAATATAATTATAGTTAATTTGTTGTATTTTTTCTGAATAACATTAGATACACGAAAATCTGTAATTATTACTTGTTTTAAAGTTCAATTTTATAATTTTTAATATGTAATAAATTGCGTATATTTTTCTTAGTTTAATCTTGTTGTAATAATTATATAAAAAAACATAATTAGAACCCAGCAAACATTTTTTGCTTTTCCAACCATATTTTCCTTAACAAAACAAAAGAAAAATGTGGAAATAATTCCTTGAGATACTAACGCCCAAAAAATGTTTACTTTTAATTATCCCTTCTAGCGATTGTTTATTCTGGAACGAAATTCGCCTTGTTTGTTATGTCGCATGCGATGTTGACTGTATCATAAAAGATACAAATATCATACAGTCTTTATTAGAATTTTCAACAAAATTAATTATATGTTATTTATAAAACACATGATAATGATAATTAATTTATAAAACACATCTCAAGCATTTCTTATAAATATGTAAATTGAATTAATCCTTAATTTTCATTAAAAATAAACAATTTAATATAATTTATTTCTGAGTATCTTTTAGAATTTTACGAATTCAATAGTTTTCAAAATTTATTTATTTATTGATATTTAATATACATGTATAAAAATATATTGCGTTGCACATGGTTATATAATGCATTGGATTTGGACGAAAACGATCGTGTTGGTATTTTTGCTGCAACGAAGCAAGGAAAAATCCAAGTATATTGTATTATTCCATGTTGGCGCAGTAGCGTGGTTTGTAGACGTGACTTGATCGGTTGCCCAAATTGTCCTTGCACCAATTTATCATGTCTCCATCTAACTTATCCATTTCTCAGTCTCTCTTTCATTCTCTCGCCAATTCATATAGACGACAAACACACACATACACTGACGCTCCTCCAGTAATATTGATTGAATTCAAATTGATACGAGAAATACTCGCAAAATATTGGCTTAGATCATCTGGGGAATTGGGAGCGGTAAATCCCTCGGAGGCGTTGCGCCATCAATCACGAACCCGAATCAATTTGGGATGATAACAACATCAACAAGGTCAATTATATACCCGAAATACATATCGAGATAAAATCATAGCCAGATGTCGATCACATTATACATGCTCGTATTTGAGTGCAATCTATGCAGTTTTTTTTTATTATGGAAAATTGATGTACAAAAAACTATTCAATTTACTTATTTAAAATAAAATTATGATATTACTATTAATACAGTTAATTTTAATTTTTTCTAACCGAAACACACAAAATTTTCTTGAAAACGTGGATTATCTAAAGAATCTTAAAAACTATTAAAAATCGCAGTATTAACCATTTTCTATTCCAAAATCACATAATTAATTACAGATGTAAAAATTAAGTAATAAGAAACCAATATTCTAAATACATACGTGAAAATTTAAATTTAAAAAAAAACTAAAAGCTAATATTTTTTATCTAAAATAACGTTGATCGATATAATTAATGTTTCATTTAGTATAAGCATTATTTTCTAAAATGAAACAAAATCAAAGATATTTCTTTTTAAATATGGTGGAAAGTACCTTCATTTCGTTACACTCTAGTCCACATACTTTAACTTAGTTTATGATTAGTCAATAGTTTGTTGCGATAGTTATATTATTCATGGATATACAGAAATGTATAATCATGTTGGTGGATGCGCCGGGTTTCACGTAACAAAAATATTAAGTCAATTATAACTGTCAATTAAAGAATTTAATGTTTATGTCATTTGTTTTTGTTTACTTTTAGTTTTGTAAGAAGCTTTAAAGTTGGGTTAAATATTTAAATTATCATGTTTGGCCAATAAATTATTATTATAAATTAATTTTATTTATGTATATGTGGAAATAAATTATTGAAGAAAAGAAGATTTGAAAAGTTTGAAAAAATAATTTTGAACAAGAATATAAAATTGGTCCATTATAAATTTATTATAAATTTGAAAGTTCTGAAAGAACAAATAAGGAAATGAGATCAAAATTTTTTAATTGAGTTATGAGAGCAGTTTAATTTGATTAAGAAATATGCTTCAATAAATTTCAGCAATATATTTTATGCAAATTAGCTTTAAGAAGCAATTTATTTGCATTCGATCAATAAAATTTAAGTTATTCTTTTTGGTTAATTTTTCAGAATGCCAGCTCTGGTTAAGACCGGAGGAGAAGTTAGTTAGTTGGGTGGATTTTCCGAGCGCGGAATGTCAAGTGTGGTTTCCTGGCCACCGGACCGGGCACGGCTTGGTGATAGACATGCACCGTCTCAATATTCCATGCACGAAGGGATTCCTGCACTTTTCCGGATTGAATACATCGCAACAGCAGCACTTCCGAAGCCACAAGCAGGCACATCTCTGCGGAAAGCTGGAGGAGCTCCCCGACGCCGACAGGCACATATACTTCCCGTCTTCGCACAGTCTACCTTATCTCCACATCAGAGGTTCTCCAGTCTTCACCTTCTTCTACCATCTTGTCGATTACTGCTACAACGTGACCTTTGTTACACGCAATGGTTCGTTCGAGTTAAAACCCACGGCAAGCGGCGATCTCCAATGCACCTTTAAGATCTATTTGCCGTATGGGAATAGGGTAGCCTTGAGTCTGGTTATAGGCGATAAGAACGGTGACGGTAAACGCCCAGAAGTAGGTTCATCCTCCGTATCCGAGTTGAACAACGTCGGTGAAGAATGCGTCGGATTGCGCGTGGAGTTCGTCGACGGGGATGGAATCTGGTCGCATTGCAGCATGGTCGGGGAGGCGGATCGAAGGATTGAAATTGTTTCGCGCGAGAATAAAGTGGTGCTTAAAGTACGGGTGAGAACGGATGGGGGTGGAGGAGCCGCTTTGGGTATGCGTCTAAGTTACCGAGCGGAGGCGGCGGAAGACATCGTCGGAATGTGCGGTTTTGGTTGGGTAGCCCTGAGACAGTTCTGCGTGTCGGCCGTCGAGGATCTTAAGTTGCCCTGGGCCCAGGCGGAATTGGAATGCGGCAGAAGGGGCGGACATTTAGCTAGCATTCGCAACGAACACGCACAAACTCTTATTGACAACCTACTACTCAACAGGTAAGCAGTTTCTTCTTTTTTCTCTTCCTTCGGTTTTCTTTTCTTGTTAATATTTCCCTTCACGTCAGCTCCCAAGGGTCCCCAACCTTCTCGAGCCCTAACTATATCATAACCAGTGACAAGAACCTTACGTTACTGACGCCCGTTCGCAAATTTAATCCAACTGCCGCAAAGGAAAAGAACATTGCTGAATAAACGATTTACATTTACGTGACAACATTCTTTTATACTCATGTAAAAAACAGTAGATACTTTCCAAATGTCAATTTAATGAAAATGTATATTTGTGTGGATAACAATTCTATATTACAAATTATATATAATATTATAAGAAAATTAAGTAAAAAAATAATACAAGTTACTTTTACATTATATATTATAAATAAAATACAATTAAATTCTGCTATACAATTAATAATATCTAATTATTGATATATAAATATTTTAATTATAATAGAATTTATGATTAGATCCATAAACATGTTGCATAAAATTGATGCATTGTAGTCTCTCCATTTCCAGCATATTTTTATTCTGTTTGTAGCGATTCGGCTCACTGAATCATCAAAGGATAATCTCGAGGTATCTTGAGCACACAAAAAGGACTCCACACACTCACCCACCTACACACATATTTTTCCCATGCCATATTTTTTCTTCTTCCCTCGTTCCACATGCTAAACTTGAAAGCATTCGAAGCACACGTGAAAAAGTGTAACGGAAGCTTTTATAAAGCGAGACCCGCCCTTGATTTATATGTACACTCGCAACCTACCACTAAATCTACGCGCGGCAACCTTTCCTTGAACATAAAAATATTGCGTTCCTCGGCGAATTGAATTAAATTAGATTCGCCCCTTTTCTTACTCTTCCATCCACTTCTTCCACTCTTTATCCCCAACGTTCGTGTTTATTCTGTTCATCTTTGTGGAGGGGAAGCACTTGGGTTCATCAATTATCGTGATTCGTCGTTCCGTGAAATCGGAATTTGCCTCCGCGATTCCGAAATCATCGCGTAAACAAAGTTGAATCAAATTGGTAAAGTTTCTGTTCTCGTCGACTTCTGAAGGCGATTAGGGAATGCGTCGGTCAGAAACTTGGATAAAATTCACGAAATATGAGAGAGGAAGTCGTTACTATTATCTCTCAACTTAAGCATTCATTCATTTACTTAAACGAATGTAAATCATCAAGTGTCGTAAAAGTGTCAAAAAAAACAGACAACACTTTTTGAAGTAGCCCAAAAATTACGACTTTATTTATTATGTAACGATGGAAATAGCACATATGAAAATGATGTAGATTTTCATATGTGCTTTTTCCTATCGTTACATAAACTTACCATGTAACTTATTATATACTTGTTATATAACATATAATAAGTATACATCACATAATTATATAAAAGCTTGTTATGATAATAATGTCACCAAACTTAGGTGGTTGTGCTAAAAGTACTTAACGAGTTGTAAGTACATTAATGTATTATCAACATTTCGAAATCATTAACATTTATTTCTAATGCCTCTCTTGTTTTATCCTATTTATCTATCATTCATATGTATTCACTCCACTAACCTTATTTGCTCTATTTTTATCATATCCATTAATTCCTATTTGTTATCCTATTGATTCAGTCTAAATCAATCTAATAAAGAATAATCAACCTATGAGACGCGTTAAATATTTAATGGATTGTATTATGACAATTGTGACCTTACGCATCAAAATATTAACAATTGGGTCGCAGAACAATTACAAATAAATATTATTGTATGAAATAAAGATATTAATCCATTTTCCACCTATGAATTAATATCTATATACATGTAATTTAATGAACCATGTTATATTGGTAATGGAGTAAACTCTGTTGGTTGCTTTAATCCTCTTAAATAGATTGCGAATAAAGCTGTGGCAGGGGATGTACTTCCAAATTGCGTGAGTTTGTTCCCATTTACAAGGAGCAATTTGCATTGAATTCGCGTGTCCGGCCACGTGGAAAGTCGGTGGGAAACGGAAGTCGAAGGCGTTACGAACAGTTAGGACCCCTTCACATCCGAATCTCACGAATTATGAGGGCATATATAGATGTCCGAAAGTTTTTGCTCCATCCGCTTCCTTTTCCGAGCCGATTATGATTTACCGCGCGAATTATGAACGGTAATTCGAGTAGAAGTTGATCCTCTTCCCTCATCCTTCTCCCCTTTCTACTCCAACCCGAAGGACGATGACTGAGTAGAGCCGAATTGAACGGAAACGAAAAGTGCATTACTTTCCTTGCCGTCTTATTTTATTTTTATATATATATTTTTTTCGCCGTTTCCGATGTGTCATAAATAAATGGGGGATAGCCGTAATGCGGCAGAATGAAAATTCTCTCGAGCTCCAAGGGGGTTGGGAATATAGCACATAACAACGGGAACGAAGGGGAAGTTCTTTATGTGCGTGCAGACGTGGGCGGCGTCGGCATCGTGACCTATTTATTTACGCCCGACTTTCTTCTTCTCAACACCCTCAAGCAAAACCATCCCCCTCCCCGAGAACACTTTTCTGTCTCTCTCATTCTGACGAACTTTTTTTCACAAATGCAACCTATCCACCCCCAATCCATGTGCTCGACTTAATGGAGTTACGAAAGTAACGCTAGAATCGGATACATGGATCTAGCTGACTTAATAATCAATCAGATGTCAGACCTATTGGCTCGGTGCCTAATAGGCATTTGCATTTGCTGATACTACAAACGCAGACGACAACATATAAATTTAGCTTATATGTTATTGTTATTAAACATAGTACTTTCGCTTTTTTTCATAATATATACACAATTTAATAAATATCAACATCTCTTATAGTCGCTGTTATATTTTATAAGAAAATATCCCCAAATGAAAAAATATCTGATAAAAAATGACATACAGCTTAAAAACACTAGAAAATTGCACGAAAACAAGTAAATGTCTCAAATATGATTTTAATTTTATTTATAAATACTAATATTATGCATTAATAGATTAAAGTCATGCAATGCAACAAAATCCTGGTAACAATTTGCAAAATTTTATTGTAACATTTCAAAAACTACAAATGTGAATATTTAGTATTTTCATAAATGAATCAAATATAGATGGTTAGTTTGAATAACATACTTTTTATTTGTTAATTAGTGCTTTGTTAAACGTTCTTAATAATTAAATAATTAAAAAATACAAATTTCAACATCACTTAATTGGTTTTCTAAGGATAATATATTATGTACAAATAAATACACAAATGTTAGAAAAATATCAAACTGCTAAAGTATCCAAATACTCTACACTAATGTGGAAACATCATCATTCAAAAGTATAAATTATGAACAAAATATTTGACTAAAAATGATTATAAATCATACTATATCTCTGAATTAAACGATTTATGATTCGATCTATCTAGATGCTTTTAAACATATCAACAATTAAGTAATTTGCAGAAATCGCAAAATATTACTTAATTTGGAGTGTATACATTATATAAATTGTATATATACTAATAAAACCTTATATATTTTATGTTTCTATTATTTCTATAAAATTTATTGGTGCAATTTATATTCTCTTTTTTATATTTTATTGCATAATTTGTTGTTTTTTTTTTATAGAAATATATGAAGCGAATAATTTTGTTAAATATATCCAATGTATACTATTACTTTAATTAAAAGAACTCTTCACGAAATGTTTTTGTTGGTTATTTATTTTGGCATTACATTACATCAATCAAATATACTAATAATCAATGAGATTTGAGATAAACATTTTGGCTCGTTGCCTAATAGACATTTGCATTCTGAGACCCTAAGCCTAGCAACCAAAAGCAGACGACAACATATAAAGTCGACTAAAGTGTTTTTGTTAGTAAACATGATACGTACGTTTTTGTGGCGGCAACGGCTGGGACCCTCGTAAATCGTCTGCGTATAAAGAGCGGTGCTCCTCGGGAGCGCATATTCCGTCGTTTCCTTTCCTTTTATTATTTTTCTCTTCGTCGGTTTAATTTTTTTTTTCGTTTTAACTTTAACTTTAGCCCTATTTTTGTATTCCAGTCCTGGATATAAAGACAACAACGCCTACTGGATTGGAGCCTCGGATAAGACCCACGAAGGAGATTTCCACTGGTCCGACGGATTACCATTCTCCTACACAAGTACGTGAACTTTTTAATAAGAGACTGTCGGAATAGAGAAAATATTCGAGCACATTTTTCATATTCACAAAAATCAAATGGTGTGAAAAAAATACTGATGGAAAAGACATCAAATTTTTACTGCTAATATTTCACACGTAGTTTTAGTTACAAAATTATAATTGAATAAAACTAAGTTTTGTATGTACTTTCAATTAGTTCAAATTTAGTTAAATATATTAACCTTTAACTACTAGCGCCGGTGTAAAAAGTACACCAATTTTATAAGAAATGATAACAAATCCATATTTTCTTTCTCCCATCTATAACACTTAAAGTAACCTATGCGCAAAGTGTTTACTAAATGCCGGTGCAATATTGTATTGACTGCGGCACAAAGAAGTTGTTTTTGTGCGTGTTTGTTCTTTCTCTGCAGTGTTGGTGTAATAACAGACGATACTGATACCTCTAGTCACGCTTATATAGAGGGCAATGACGACAATTCTGATTCAGAAATTATTATATTAATGTATTACAAATAGTTATGAATCTAATAAAAAAGCATTAGATAACATGAAACAGTTTTTTCTTGTCGTCTGCCGTCTGCCAATAATACATGTTGTGTATAAAATACACCACGCGAGTAGTACATAGAAATTTCAGTGCGCGAGTAGTTAAAGGTTAAGGGCCATAATTTTTGACCAATATATATGTTAAATAAATATTTCAAGAATTTATCTGTATGCAGTGCATCGCATTCGTATTTGAACTTATTTTTATATAAAGCTTGATTGATTGTCTGCCAAGATGTCCTTCTCATTGCACCAGCACCTTGACATGTATTTATATTCCACAAATAGAATCCATTATCGCTGTATTGCACACTATACTGGGTTACATTTATTGCCAAGCATCGATTACGTTTTCAACCCATGGCCTAAAAAAAATTTTTTGGGTGATGCATTATATTTTTGTACTTTTCCAATCATTTCAAGTAAGATTTCATCCCTCCTTTCAACAATAACTTAATAATAATATCTTCTTCATTTAAATCTAAATCTAAGTATAGTTGGTACGTCAATAGAAAATGATGTCTCGCATCAGATATTATGGAAGTACCCTTCTCCATCTCGTTTTTATCTCTATTTTTTAAAAGAACTATATCCATTTATTTAGTTTATTAGATTGAATCTAATCTTGTAATGCTTCCTACATATTCTTTGAGATCTTTTTCTAGAACTCTATTACGTTATTTGCAGGAAAGAGCAATTTTCAAAGGATTCATAAAAAAGGTCAATTGTTAGGTTTTTTTGTTTCTCATTAATTCTCCAGCAATCTTGCGATTGTTCCAACTTCTTGTTTTTGTTTTTGTTATAATTTGTATGAAAATCTGCATTTTTATTATCTTTCAGATTGGTTTCCGGGCTGGTCGCAGCACGGGGATTACAATCGACAGCCGAACGATGACGGCCTCAGCGAACAGGACTGCGTCGAAGTACGAAGGATCTACTCTTTGCCCACTTCTTCGGCGAGCTTGGCATCCACTTTCATGTGGAACGATCGAGACTGTTCAGCGCCGAATTTCTTCATTTGCGAACGATTGCAGAACGACGGTACCGTTACATCCGCTTCCTTCAACCCGTTTCAATATCCATGTCTGAGTCTCCTATTAATTTTCAGAACCTCTGGAGGAAGTCTGGCCGCCGGATTGCAACCGGTCGGTGATCCTTTCGCCGCAGCAGCCGCGCGCCGCCGTCTCCAGTCCTGGATTCCCGAGGCAATATCCCGACAACGCGGACTGCGACACTATCATCGCCGTACCGCCTGGATACAGGATCATACTCGACTTCGAGGAGCTCGTCCTTGAAAATGAACCATCGTAAGTGTTTCAGGCGGATCGGGTATCACCGATACTAATAGAGTCATTAGCGACGAGAGCAACATTAGTTAATGGCTTCTAGAATAGTGGAATCGATGTAACAGTTTTTGTTGATTATTATTTACGAACGGAAATCGGACCCTTCTAGACGCCACTTTGAAATTGATTTATACAAGCAAGTGTTTTATCTTCTTAAAGAATATCACTTTCTTGTTCATATCAACATTTCTACAATTTCAATATTATTTACTCCTTTGTCCGAAAATAGTTTTCACTTCAATTTTTATCTGGATATAGTTGCTACATTTCGTAACAAGCAAAAAAATGAGAAATTATTGAACAATTTTTTGTTAATTCAAAGAGGAAACAGATATTTTTAAAAAATCGCGCTGTTTTAATAACGTTTTCATCACATTTTATAAAAGTCACTAAAGTCGAATTTCGTCTTCTCAAATATTTTACAAAACTTGTAAGTCTCTTTTTTTCCTTTTTTCAATCTGTTGTGTAATGTACTTTTTGGGAATTTTGGATTCATGTGTCAATGTGCTTCTTTTCCAGATGGGAATTATGGAAATGTTTTGAATCTGTTGACTATAGTTTTTGGCTTAAAACCATACTTCTTTTTATGAGAATCAACGATAATCATCACATTGTTAATTTGACACAGTTTAGTTTGTTTTCACAATTTTGGTCCGAGAATAACTTCTCAGTAGCTGTATTTATCGCACCTCGTTTGAGTCTTTGACATTTTGCAATAAATGATGCAAAATTTGCTTGCTATCATCATTACTAAATTCTCCATACTTTCTTGGCATTTTGAAGTTTTAGTTATGTTACTACGATTACTGTGGTTAAATAATTAAGTATGTAAGAATATCAACAGCAGCGTAACGAATTTAAACAAAGTTTGGCCATTGCATACTTAGATTCATAGAGAAATTAATTAAATTGACTGTATCCAAAAATTTGGGCGTGAAATTGAAATGTAGCAACTATTTTCAGATAGAGGAAGTAAATATTTTCTTTTGATAAGAATCCAGTAATTAAGTAAGAGAGGTAGAACTTAACAAATTTCTAATAAATATCGGTATATGAATCGAAAAATGATGCAAATAATATGGACCTTATAAAAAAGTCTTATAGCAAATAGTACTAAATAGTATAATTAGCTTTTTAAATGCTCAAACGAAACAAGGAGTTATGTCTAATTAAAACTAAGTATAATTAAAACTAATTTAATCTTTCAGAATTTTATTGATACTTCAATGAAAATATAAATTGTTGTTGAGATGTTTTGATGGCATTATATAATAACAAATAACAGTTTGAAAAGTGTAATCATACTTATCTATGATCCTGTCGAGCGATAAAATCAAATAAACGATATTCATGGCAAATAATCGTGTGAAATTTATGAAGTAATTTATATTCAAATCTGAGCCTGTAATGTTTCGATTCGATCAATATGAATGCATGTATGGCAATAAAAAATGATGAGCGCATCTGTGGGAATGTATTTATGCATACGATCATGCACCGAACAAAGTATAATACAGTTTTTTTTTAAATTATCATTTCGCATCCAGTCTGGCGTTGCAGTTTAGTGGCAGCTGGGTTGGGTGGTAAATGATGAGGATTTGTGGGGATCTGTGGTGGTTGGTGCAATTAGCGAGACAGAGCGGTCGTTAAAGGTCCCTAAAAAGTTTTATAGTACCGGAGCGAGGCGTATTTCACCCGTGGCCCCGGTTTCCTCTGAATAATCGAGGGAGCAAACAAACCAGCCCCAGTAACTACCATAAAAAAATACGTATATTGGAAAATAATTAGCGTGAATGGCAGAAATACGGCGTTCGGGATAAGTGAATAAAAACTGGGGAATGACTGGTTATTTTGATTGCAGTCCAGTGCATTCGCTCGGAAATTTGTACGAGACGTGCATTTTAAGTGATTTTCAAAAGAATATTCAATTCTGGGCACAAAAGTGTAAACAAAGCAATCCAGATTTTTTTTTCAATTTCCTTCTTTTGCTGCATACAGAATTCCCGAGACATGAATTCAAATGACTGTCATACGGCATTGACAACTGACATCTAAAATTGTTTACTACTTGTTAAGTGAATATAGAAATTGGTATTCCTGACAGTCATTTACGTCTCATATCACAAGTAGTGCGGATACAACATTATACATAAACTTGAACGACGGGTAATTAAAAGTTTAAACTTAGGAAAGATAAGCGAAATGGGAAACATATGTTCAATGCATACGGTTTATCCTGTGGTTATCTTTTAATGAAGAATACTAGAAAACAAAACATACATAAAGAGAGTTACTCAATACGCATTAATTACCACGTCATTAGTTAATGCGGAAAATTACATTTGTACATATAACACACACTATAAACGCTACAAGTTTCCATTTACAGTTTTCAAACTTTATAGTTAATTTAACCCTTTTGCATTTTCTCATTTTAGTTAATTTATGTTTTATATTATAAGTACCATTAACGCAATAGAAAACTAAGTGGTTTTGTATCAAATATCACCTGATATGCAAAATACCTTTAGTCCTATCATAAATATGAGTGGTTCATATATGTACCAGCAGTCTACAAAGGGCTAAAAGATTAATTATTTTCAATTAATTTCAGTAAATATTAAAAATAAAATATGTTTAAATTGTAATTTTGTGATTAATTTAAGTTAAATGACCGTGAAATCTTCAACAGATGGCTTTTCCTGACAATAAGCTTCCTGGTCGCTTGTTTCATAGACCATCAAACAAGACATGGCTTTAGAGCCACATCAATGACATCCTCCAAACAAAGTAAACAATTTACTATACTAGATTGGAGATAAATATCCAATGAGTACCATTAGGGTCTTATGTATAATTTAGCTTAATTTGATAAAATGTGAAATACTAACTGACAAAACCTTAAAAAAGACAACAAAACTACATTGTGACGCTTATTTTATGACACCCACTTTCCAATAATATATTTAATATTCTCATCAGTTCTAATATTATGAAAATTTCACTACATTATCGTTTTTGTACTTCCCTTGTAGAATTTATTTTTGTAAGATAATGTGATTTCCATTCTTTAATAAACCATTACTATTATAAATGGTTAATTAAAGCTTTCTTAATGACTTTGACAAAAAGAGGTAAATACTTACATTTACTAGAAAATTAATCATAGAAACACATTACAATGTTTATTCGCCGCGATTTTATACTCATTGGGAATTAACTCGCCTCTAATCCCCAGAGCATTACTACTTCCACAAGGCCCCATTATAAAGACTCTTTTATTATGCAATGAAGAATTAAGAAAAAAAGAAACCTCAAACATAATTGGTTCTATCCTTTACACATCGCATTCAAGGATTTAACCACTAGTTAAATATTTATCCTTCAGATTTATGCAATAGCTTATAACCGAAAATTATGGTATTACTAAATAGCGAGGCTGAAAATTAATTCGGTGATTAATTGCGTCGGTCTAACCTTTGTAATTGATGGTCTCTTGTGGACTGTTGAATCTCAGCCATTGTCGCTGCCCCCACCGAATTAAATCGGTTATTGTGCCCCAAACCTATTTCAATATTTACTCTAAAGTTGTACATAGTGTGGTCGACTCGGAAAATCATTACTCCAAAAACTAAGGTTTAGACCGAATTTGCGAAAGACTTTCAAGCCGAGCGACATTTCACAACTTCCCACACTCACGCAATCATTAATTATGAAATTAATTGTAGTCACATGAATAAAGAAAGATATATGTGCTGTTTTATCCTGGTATAAAAACTGAATTGGATATCAATCATGGTTTAGAGCTATTCATAATGCGTTAACTCGGTGCTGGTGGTAGTTGTGTTGGACTGGTATGATACATCTATTTAATCACGTCAGTAGGTTGCAATGTCGTTTAGTATCTCGGTGAGAATCCAATCAAATTTAGTGCCTTTGGCGCGGATACTGTTAGCAGGGTATTCAGATCCACCGATGCATAAGATACTGCTTCACAATAAATCAATTTACCGGCATGAACTCCAAAGTAAATATTATTACACAGTTCTTCGGACAGTTACAATACAATTGATTGCCTATAGATGCGAGCCTTTGTGTGTGTAATCGTATTTCGTTAAGGCCGAATAAACTGAATAATTTATAAAATTCTAATAATAATAATGAATTTATTGGACAACTAGTTATTATAAAATAGTATTAACTATTGAAAATATATATAGAAGCAATGTTTTACAGAAACGTGGAACGAAATAAATAAATGATGAACTGAATGAATATTCATGGCTTTAACTAAAAACTAGTTGCCCAGTTTCCAATAGTAAAAACCACAGGAATCATACAAATAACTATGAGAACTGTTCAAGAGTCCGCAAGAACTATACGAATGTTTTAGCATCTGTATTCTCGTAAAGTCCTTAATAACTGTCATAAAAAGTCTTTAATGACTGTCATAAAGCAATCAAATCGCGTCGTTATTATGTTTGAATGCAAACTATTAATGTATATAAACTTATCAATTCAAGTAATGCCCGCAATTACAAAAAAATAATTTCAAAATAAAGTAAATTTTAATTGATAAAATAAAATAATTAATATTTAGATTTTTTTGATAGACTTCTTATAATAAGACACATTTATAAAATATACTTTTAATTCTCACATTTAAAATTTACCCTTAGAAACTGACAAATCCATCATGAAATATCTTAATAATTAAACAAATCTCTTCTCAATGAAATCAGATGTATACATAAATAAATTGAATTTTTTATTATGCAATTAAGATACATAATTACAGTATGTAGTAAATATGACAAAATCTGTAGATAATTACGTTGAATGAACGAATTAGTTAATGTATATTTCTACTAAGCATTAAAAGAAGTGATTAGAATAATACGCCTACTAAAACTTCTAGCAAATCATTAGTGGAAAACATTGTATCAAGTTCAATGATGCAATCTTAGTTATATGTCTGTAGATTACAATTTAGATTAAAATCTACCATTGTATGGAAACAAAAGTTTATCGTTGAAAAAATGTTTAATGAAATGTACTCGTAATCTATGTCGTTAGTTATTTAGTGGATGTGTGTTTTTGTTTTTCTTTACTTTAGATGTAGTTACGATTATTTGGAAATAATTGAGATGTCGGGGAACGCGACTAACGGAGGCGGCGGCAATAGCTCGAGTAGAGCAGGCGGCAGCGGCAGCATCAGCAGCGGTGGCATCAAAAGTAGCAGCAGCAGCAGCCGCCGCCTCTGCGGCGACTGGAGCTCCAAACTGAAACTGCTCAGACACGTCAGCTCCAGTTCGAAGTTACGGTTGCATTTCAGTTCCGACTACAGCCATCATTTCGGAGGTTTCAAGGCACGCGTTTCAATGGAGAACGGTAAGCTGAACCATTACCACCATCAACGCCATCGACAATCTTCCGACCATCAATCTACTCTCTCTCTCTCTCAACTCAACTCTTAACTTCTTAGCTTTTGTTTGTTTTAATTCAGTGTTATTTTAATTCAATTCCTGCAGCACAACGCACCTCGCCACGTGCAGGTAAGCAGGTGCCGAAGCACGCAATGCAATGCAACAACACCTATCCACTTGCATTTGTTTATCCAAGAAAGTTCTAGGTGTACATACAATGTGTATATTACTATGCATGCCAATCCAATCGACCACTTTTTCACGCTCACTATTATTATGTATGCGCGTGGAAAGGAATGAGGATGAAAAAAACCTAGATTTTAATCTCGCTTCAATTAAACAATTACATACTGTAGCGGCGCTTTTATATAGTTTCGACTTTTTTTTGTATAAGCCCTTTCAGACGTGTTTAGAATTGGGTTTTATTAATGTTACTGACTTTTGCAGCTCTCCAATGCTCGGATGATAGGCTGCAGATCTTCAATAACTCGTGCTACCTCTTCGTCAGTTATCCGGAGGTGATGTGGTCAACAGCTCAGCAGATCTGCAAGGGGATCAGAGCACAGTTGGCCTCGATTTTGACGCCCGATGAGGAGCGGTTCGTGACGACGAATATAAGAAAAACATCGGAGTACAGGAATAGTGCCAAGTATTGGTTAGGAGGAAAGGTGGATTCGAATGGAAAATACAATTGGATCGATGGTAGCAACATGGGGTATTTTGGTTGGTTGCCTGGACAAGGACCTTCGTCTTCCAGCCACGAGCGAGAAGAAGACGTTTGTTTGGGTATCCAATGGACGTACTCTCCGACGCCGATGCTTCCCAGCGGATTATATTGGAAGAGCCAGAAGTGCAACAGCGTCGGAGGGTACATCTGCAAACGGCCCACCTTAATTTCCGGACAGGGCATTAATTTCAATAAAACGGTTAACGGCTCCGAGGGGAAATTAGTGACGCCCAATTATCCGGGAAATTATTACAACAATTTGGATTTTACAGTGCGAATCGTGGGTCCAGAGAGAACGCGTATTGTGATACAGTTCGATAAACTGGACATTGAATCGCAGATCGAGTGTTTGTACGATTACGTTGAAATGCGGACGGTGGGTAAGAACGGCCGGGCGTTCAGGGATTCTGTGAAATGGTGCGGATCGCACGAAACCGAAATGCAAAGGTTCAATTTCGTTGCGGAGAACAACGAGGTGCAGCTCAGATTCCATTCGGATTACTCGATCACCGGTGGCGGTTTCCTGCTGCATTGGCATTCGGTCGATATATCCGGTTGTCCCATCAGGACGTTGACGGCCAAAGAAGGGTTTCTGGTGAGCCCCAACTATCCGCATTTTCTACTTGCCCATCTCGACTGCACGTTTAATATCATCGCGCCGCCAGGAAAGAGAATCTGGTTGAACTTCGAAAGATTCGATATGGATGATGAGTACGATGAGAGCAGTTTGGAGGTGAACTTGGGTACGGAGGGTTTTAAACCTTTTCAGACCTACGATCTCCTCACGGATGGCACCTACGTTTCCAACGGGGATCGGATGAAGGTACGCTTGAGGACACACGACAAACCTCGAGGCTCCGGCTTCAAAGCTGCTTACAAAATAACACCTGCCCAAGAACTAGTAATTAACTTAACGAACAATAGCATAGGGAACCTTCTATACCTGAACTATCCTAATCCGGCACCTCGAAACGTAGAATTCAAGCAACATCTGATAGCACCGTTCGGTTACGTGATATCTTTGGAGCTCTCGCATTTGATTCTGACCGAGGTGGAATGCGGTCCAGAGTTTGGTACACTCGAGGTTCTGGATAACTATGCAGACACTAATGGTACCTCGTGGCACATGTGCTATGATACAGAGGTTGACTCAGTTGTTCCAAAGGCTCCGATAGCCATCACATCCTTTCTCAATACTCTGCATATTCGACAGCGACACGCCAGGAACGGCCTCTCCTTAAACGGCACTCTACGTGTCGAAGAGGATGTCAACTTCATGGACAAAATCATGAAACATAAAAGCGAGAACGTGGAATCCTGTAAGCCAAATCCATGCCTGAACGAAGGCAAATGCGTTCATAATGGTAGCCAGAAACTCTGCCAGTGCCTTAAATATTATACAGGTAATTATATCGCTTTTAATATCTATTCATAACATAGAAGATTATGTATATGAGAGATAATCAATTATTTTTTTCAATATTTTAAATTAAAAATAAAGAAAAAAAAAACGTATTTTTAGCCAATACTAAACAAATATCATTATTCACTTTTAAAATATTTCTAACATTTTGATTAGTGCAAATATATAAATTCAAATTGATATCGACTAACACAAAAATGTAACGTTATAAATGGATTGTGCGTTACTCTTGAAATACATCATATTTTTCAGATTGAGCCAAGTCATGCACTCTACTCCGCGCATTGATTGATTACAGGATTAATGCAATTGTTTCCATGGTGTGCTTGTTTATTTCGTATGATACACTCGGTCTTTTAGAATGATTATTAATCAATCATTCTAAAAGACCGATTGTACAAGAAAATAACTCAAATACATACATATCGATCACAAAGTCAATTTATAAAGTATTGTGCAAAAGCTATTTTATTGTAATTGTTTTTCCTTTAAATGGGTTATTTTATTCAGCATGTGATTATGTCGATATGTATTATTAATGGTATTTATTGAGCAGGAATTTTCTGTGCTTTGACCCAATGTGATTTGGATCCATGCGTGTTCGGAAGCTGCCAACTGACGGAGAACAGTTTCAAGTGCCACTGCAAGTTGGGCTACATGGGTCCCACCTGCGAGCAGAAGAGAAGACCATGCGAAGGAAACCCGTGTGAGGGTCGAGGAACGTGCGTGGAGCGCGGCGCCGACGGCTTTCTGTGCAGATGCCATGCGTGGTGGGAGGGTACCAGATGCGAAAGACGGATGTTACACATACCGTATAAACCGCTGAGCGAGAGAATGCTTAGAGAGCCCTTCTGGCTAGGTCTGATGACCGTTTCGGTGGTTATGGGTGTGATAGGATTGTTCTGGTGCGCAAAGCGACACTTCCCGGAGAAGATTGAGAAACTGCTGGCAGAGGAGGAGGATAGAAACCGGGGAGGAGGTATGTGTATCGTAGCAGAGGATTATGTTTCTTCTGATGCTCAGATGTTTTCTTCTTGGTGGTTGCAGTGTCGAGTCTGAGGAGTTCTTCGGTGCGAGAGCAGCTGGCAGCGAGTGGAGCGGCTGCGGTTAGCGTAACACCCAGTCCAGGTCCGGGAGCCCCACGCTCGCTATTCGGCCGTCTGGGTATTCGCAAGCCATCCATCCTAAGCCTGACCAGTCCACACGCCAGCGGCTATTCGCCAGCAACAGCCCGAACATTTAGTTTGGATGATTTACTAAAACCTCCCCCGAGACGTAAGGCCGTGAGCCGTACCCTCTCAAAAAATCCAAACCAAAAAGAAACTAAAACCAAACAATAACATACATCAATAACACACGTTCAAATTACAGATTGCAATACCTAAGTAGAACTTGTATTTTTGTATTATTTAGTCATTGTTGTAAGAAGGACGCAAAATATATTATTTAGATAAGTCAATAATTTTCACGTAAAATGCATAATTATATTTATATTTAAAGCACTTAAAACGTTAAATTTCTTGTTGAACACCAACAGTATTACTGTAATTGAACAAAAGTACGAGTAATGTGAATTATACAGTAATAATATACTCTGATCGATACCATTATGATCGAAGATTTTGAACGTGTTTTAATAATATATGCTACGACAACATAATTATATGCGTCCATAAAATCATATCAATATCAATAAAACCAATAACATTTCTGATGTTTGAAATTCATAGTGGACATAATAAATTTCTTTAAATAAATACAAGATTTTTTAAACACTTTTAGTATTGCAATCTCTAATACAGATACACTCATTTTTCATTGCGAATTGAACCATTCACAACGCAAATTGTTGTGGATTGTTTGTCCATCCTCTTAACATCTCTCTCTCTCTAAAATATACATATCTTTCTCTCGCTCTCTATCTCTCTGTTATTGTATGACTTCTTGTATTTTATTTATTTCCTGCTGACACTACTTCAAAAAAAGTAACCGAATATTTTCCAAGAATGGCGGTGTTTCTTTAGTTTTTCTCCTAACGTTCTGTTTATCTCTCTCTCTCTCTGTCACTATGTGTTGTTGTTGCGTGTGGCTGGTAGGTTGCACATATTCTTTTAATTTCCATTTACTTTTTACTATTTTATTTATTATGATTTTTACTTTACTCTTTATTAAGCTAAAATTCCTCCAATTAAACTACACACCTAAATAAGAATATGACGTAAAGTATACTTATACTTGTATATGCATAGTGTTTTCCTTTGTACTACGTTTGTGGTAGCCTTAGAATTCCATCCACAAGTAAATTAATTAATCGCACGGAAGAAACGAAATGTATTGGAATTACTTTATAATTGGATTGACAGGATGAAGCTTGCATTGATTACTTGAGTGAAAGCACGAATCGAAACGTAACGATTAATACTGGGGATCTGTAAACTGTACTAAATGCTAAACTGGAACTAATGAATGTTTGTTCAGTGCAAACATGCAGAATATGTGATTAAACATAGTTGATTGGCCTATAGAATTATTCCTCAAAAAACTTTACATATTGCAATGAAAATATAATTATAATATAGTTGCAATTATGTGGAATTTAATTAATTAAAAATTATTTTTTGATTCAAGTCGCTGGATATTTTTATAAATAGTGTGTGTTGTAATATTGTGGCTTTGAAATGAGCTTAAGTTAATTTGTCCATACATATGTGAATCGTTTGGCATGTTTGTTGTAAATATCAGCTAACTAATATCCAGGAAATGCAGCAAAAGATCAACGCGAACTATTGTATTATGATTGAAATGATATATATTATAATAGATTGTTTTGATAACTTTGTCGCATTTGAGTAAGTGTGTAAGATATTGTATCTCCAATTCATTTCGATTTAGGTGTTGTACAAAATTGTATATAGCATCAAGCTTTTTTAACTCTAATTCGCTGTTTCTCGTGTTTGATGATTTATTGCTGATTGATGTTTGTTTTAATGCGACAGGTACGCCTTCACCGAAGAAGAAGCGGAACAATTCGACGCCAACGAAAAAGAACGCTGCAGAGAAGAAACAAATATTACAGCAGTTGATATCACCGGGTGGAAAGGGCGGCGGGGGAAAGGTGAGTTTGGGGGAATTGATGCAAATGAGCGAAAGATCGATGAAGGAGAAAAAGAAGGATGGAAGCGCGAGCGGTGATGATGCATCGAAGGAGACAAAGTTCGGAGCGGATTTGTCTTCGGCCGTTGCTGTTGCAGCTCTCGTACCATCGGCGCAGCTGACCCTCAGCGATCCGAAGCTGGAGAAGAAGGTGACGTTTGCACGTTTACTGAGCAAGGTGTCGCAGGAGATGAGCTCCGGTTCGGAGATGGAATTAGGTATAATGCAGGCGAATAGATTAAGTTGCGCGTTCGCACGTCCATCAAGTACACCACCTTCACCCGGTGCAAACGCAAGATCACCGAACAGCACATCAAGCAATCAGGGCAGCGACTCACTCACAAGCTCAGATCTAGCAATACCATCAAGTTCTAGCATTTCAGACCTGGCACGGAGGAAGCAGACAATCAGACAAAAACCATCGAGTGCGGACTCTATACTGGCGATGTTCAGAAACTTCTCGGCCACAAATCCGGCCACCTCCAAACTCACGCCCTCGACAACACCCTCGAGTCCCATGGAGGACGACGAATCCACGTCTACATCCTCAATACACACTCCGATCTCACTGTCCTCCTCGAATATCACCCAGCAAATGCCGGAGAGCCCAGTCTTTCAGCACGGCAACAAGTCAACGATAGAAGTGTCGGTATTGGACACGCTAAGTGCGCACAAGTCGTCCTCCAGCGGAAGCAACTTCCTTCATCCGCCGACGATACTCTTAGAAATACCGAGCACAATCAGCAAGTGCCTTTCGCCCATACGGGAACTCCCCACACCCCTGCCCTCACCTGCCGTCACCCCTTGTGTAGTACGACGCAGTGCCGCGCCATCCTCACCTCATCGCGATACAATCGAATTTAGCGACCATCGTATGTCCGTAGAGATAGCCAACTCGGACGATGACACTGAAGATGATGATGAGGAGGAGGAGGAGGACGAGGAAGACGACGGTCAAGATGACGGTGATAATGCTCATAACGATGACGATGATGAAGATGAAGAGGAGGAAGAGGAAGAAGAGGACGAACAAATCCACCAAACTGAAATTGCAATAGATCCGCACGCTGAAGATGGTCTTATTCTGGAAGAAGCAGCAGCAATGCAAAGCCCATCCTCTGCAAACAGACACAAAATAAAGGTATTAATTATCTCTAAATCATTCACCAACAAACTATCAACAATTTTTTTTTAATTTTCAGAATCGACCGCCACCACTTGGCCAAATCCTCCATGTACCAACGATCTCTATAATTTCGGATGACGCACCTTCAGCTCCTCTTGTCATACCTATGGTAACCATTCAAACGCCATCCCCGACCCGTCAACGTCCAACGAGCATTCTTCTCCCCGGATCACCTCCACCCCGATCCTACAAGGATACCTTCCAATTTCCAACGCAATCAAAGTCCAAGAGGATGCTCAAAGAGTTCGATAAACCAACTTCCTTGGATCTACCCTGCGCTCCACCTCTCATAACGATAACTTGTAATATGAGTGAAGCCGAATCCGATGCCGAATCGATATCTCCGAATAAATCAGCCACGTTGGCTGTTTCGACAACAGGCATGACTTATCTGAGTCCATTCAGCATGGTTTCTAGAGGCGACCATAACGCATCAGAATCGAATTTAAGCTCTTCTGGGTACAGTTCGATGGCAAGTCCTGGTCCATCCCGGTGCGGCTCCAGCAATCCCTTGTGTCCTTCGGAAATGGAAGATCCCCCTGGACCAAGCTCCTCCTTGGGTCGTCGTCCGTCGCCTCTGTTGAAATCGAACAACACCGATAATACAAGCAAAACGCAGCACGAACAAAGAGGACGATCCGATTCGGAAACCCTCTCCGACGATGTCATGATGGAATCGAATGACGAAGGTATCGGTACCGATCACATCGAAGAGAAAATCGACGATGGGCAAGTAAAGAGCGCCAAGGAGCTTGAGGTTTTTTTGTCCGAGACAAAAAATTGCCTGCAGCCGCCTGCCATCATAGTGCACAGTGATTCGAATAATTTCGATAAGATGCTGAGTCCTGTGAGTTCGCGCAGCGAAAGTCCCCTGAGCGACAGGACAAATCGTTTCTCCGCTCAATTCTACGGCAGGAACAAAGATCTGCTCCCGTTCACCGACTCCGATGGACTTTACGACTTTCCCAGCTCGGATAAAGTGAACGTGATGTCTCTGCAACAGCCCCATCGGAAAGCAGGACGAAAACGCGATAAAAAGTTGGTGCGACAGAGCAAAACTCCAAGCCCGACGAAGCCGTCTAATCAAAGTTATTTAGAATTACCCATTTATAAGTTGAACGCAGTTTCACCAAGGAAACCGAGCCCGAAAAGACGGTTACGCAATCAGCAGCAGCAACAACAACAGGCGGTCACGTCCTCGTCCAGCTCCGACAGCATCGAGTCGACAATTGCTCGCGACCACAAATCCTCCTCAAGCCCAAGCCCGGAAACAATCCGATGCTGGGCCACATCTCTCGAGTGGCCCAAAAGATCCCCGGAAGCTTCCGGAGAAGAGACCGGAGACGTACGTAGACTTTCAACAAAACACAGCAAACAAACTATTACTATACAAACTTAACAAAAACAACAATCTATATACAAGAACGATTTCATCCAAGGGACAAACGAGAAATATAAGCTTGCATGTTTTTTGTAGACGGGACGAATTAGCTAATTATGGGGACTGCTTCGCAATCCCACATAAAGCTGGACCAATATTCTAAATACTAAATACCCCCCATCATCTCCTTCCAACAACCGACGGATCGCAAATCGAGAAAAAGTATAAAAATCACCCTCCCTCAAACCAAAAATCTAAACAGAAATCAGAGTCCATATAAACTGAATTGGAACCAAATTGTATTTATTTCTAAAGCTAGCGCATAGCAGAATTTTTCACTTTATCAAAATCATTCCAAAATTATACCATACGCTTTTCTTTTACATTTATTATATTACATCAACCAAAACCAATTTGAAATTATGTTTGAAATACATTTTCAACAACCGTCCAACGTTTCTCGAACTATTATCCACAAAAAAAAAACACAAATAAATTGAGAATCACAATATATGTTGAAACTGATACATCTTGTATTTATAACATCCGTATAAATTCACGTCATCTTAATCACTTATCGGGAGCAATGTAAGGTGAGCTATAAGGAGATACAGGTCGCTTTCAGAAAAAAATGTAATTTTAATAATTGTCATTGTATTGGCTGTTATAAATTTAGATTTATTATGAAACCGACCGTAGATTTGTATAGTTTTCTTTATGGAATTTATATATGCATCATGTATTATAATGGCATTAACAATTTCAAATCGGTATCATCTGTAGAAAGCCATTTAGTTTTTGTCTCATTTTTATTCGTATTCCTTAAATAACAATAACAACAATTCGATTTATTTTTAAATCAATTGAAAAATTTTATGCACCTTTTAGCTTATTCCATTATTTGATCGACGAATAATCGATGGTCTTTTTGCATGGAACCATTCATTTTGATTTGAATTGATGCGTGTATATAAATATCAATTGATTAACGTTTTGAGATCTAAAAGCTTTTCAACATTTGTAGTTGTATGTACATTGGTAGTTTCCATAAGCATTGCGTTGAAACCTGAAGCTTAGTCTAATGCTCGCTCCATTTACGGGGCCTATATTTGTTTATAGGAAGCAAACTGTGCAATGCTAGCAAAATTCGAGCCAGAAATTCCGAAGCACAGGAAAATAGGCCGTTTAAGGGCGATCAGCAATCAGATACGGTAAGATTCAAATGCTTCGAGTTAATGGTAAGATGTTAATGGTTATATTTTCAGATTTCTGAGGAGGTTGGAAGTGAGCCTGAAACGTAGGGAACGCATCGCAAGTCCGTCCGAAAGCGGTGGAGAGGATTCCCCGAGAGCCACGTCTCCTCTTCTGCAGGGATCCTCGGAGTCGAAGATCGGAATGATCGGGTCGAGAAACCGTCGAGGACGTCTCAAAGAGGAAACTTGGAAGCGCGCTGTAGCTACCGCCAACGGACATTCCGACTAGTTTCCACATTTTGCACATCGATCGTAGTAATTAGGAACCTACCTATGTAGATACTTCACTAATTCGTTCGGCAAAAGCAGCTATTGCCTTGTAAATTATATACATAATGTAAATAATCGAGAAGACGAAAAACGTCGTCTATGTAAAGAAAAACAAAGCAAGTATGAATATTAACATTCTAAACATCGAACAATCAAAAATTTAAAATTAAGCACTCGCTGTGTTTGTGTTTGTATAATATAGGATTAAGTATTAAGCAACAAGAGTATATGAAAATCATTTGATATGCGCAGAACGAAACGCAAAATATTTTACGTTCCTTTTCGTTGTCGTTTGACACGCTTCTTTGTATGTCGAAACAAAAAACAGGCAGATTTGTTGAAACGTTGTCGTTTCTAGATGTTGCTCAACAAAGGATGGAACTCATGTATGTGCCTAAGTTTTACGTATGATTTACTTCCTTATAAACCAATCAATCTATTTGCTAAAATAAGGCCAACGTTTCCTATGAGACGGATGGATTTAATAAATGAAAAGAAGAAGAAAAATCAATTATTTTACACTAATGTAAGCAAAACGAAGAAGAAAGAAAAAATAATAATATTATATACACATTTAAAGATGTACGGGGAAACGGATGTGAAAGGAGAAAATGAAAGTAAATTTAATATTTAAAGACGAAAAAATATGATATATTTAAAAACAAAAGAGGAAAATAAAAAACAAGGCTTTGTATATGAGACTGATTTTCTACTGTTCAAATTTTAGCTATTTCTTGTTGAATATATACATATATTTAAGCAAAATAAAAAAAAGAAGAAGAATTAAATATATATAAGATATAATATAATCGATTTGCACTTTTAAATGTTGTTGACTATGTTTGTAGGGAATTTGTAGGGAAGTAAACTTTGAACTGCGCTAAAAAAAAGAGATGACGTTCAAACGTTGTTGAATATTGGAAATATTGAAGAAGAAGAAGAGGAAACACGATTGATTTGATATTGACTTTGAATTGCATTTTTTCTTGCAATTTTTTCGATTTGATAATATTTATTTATTTTTTTAATACGAGACGACTATGATGAAGGAGAATCTTATTACGAAGTGAACGAGAAATCTGCGCGCTGTGATAGTTTGGACTTATTCTTTTCGTTCCTTTATTTTCGAGTCTCTACTCACGTGTTGACCATTCTAACTCTCATCCTATCTCTCTTACAGCAATACTAATTAAGAACTTAATTGATTATACGGTGCGGGAACAAGCAAAAAAAAATCTCTAAATAAATAAAATCTTAACAACACATGACGAGGAATCCAATATATACACTCACATATATATGTATACATCGTTTGCGACTCTTTTTTATTGGCAACACTAGTGAATTCGTGAAAAGTAATAAACAAGAAAAACGGAGAGCAATTATATTATTAAAAAAAAAACTATATATATATATATATCTTCTATGGATACTAACTATATAGGGATCGGCACACACATTTAATATATTGTTAACTTTTAGCATTAATGATCTTGAAAATGGGAAAAGAAAGTGTGAAAAATTATATTATATATATATACATATTGTAATAATAATATTAACTTTGTCTTTTTTGATCATTTATTTACCGCACATATTCCCACTTCCTTCTCTCAAAAGTAATTACATTGATATTAATTCGTTGAAGCGAATATCATTGATCATCAAAATAATTTTTCAATTTTTACACTTGTTAATGATTTCACATTCACTAAGTTTTACCGTGAAGATGATTTTTCGGGATTTTTATATTTAGTGAGATACATTGAATTATCATGGAGATAATCATGTTATTTAGCTGAGCAAAAGTCATAATGGTGGATTTCATGTAACGCATGAAATCCTATGTTACGCAAAATATTTTTTTGTAACTTAACTGTATTTGATCGGGTGAAATATGCAACCAAATTAACACATATTATTGGTTCTTATTGTTTATATTTTGTTAAACCCCACAGTACTTATATACATAACTACAGATTAAATATATAAAACAATAAAAAACGAATATTTGAAAACTCTCGTCCAATTCCCACAATACGTGTCTTTAAATAATTATCAAATTATTTTCTTATTAGAGAGCTGCTACCTCCATCTGGAAAGAACATGATTTAAGTAAAAGGTAAATATTGGCAAATTGGGTAAATATTGTCTATTCATATTTGTGTTACTCTAGTTGGCAGTAACACACTTCAACGATAAATATTGGCATCACTTTCAAATTCCTAACCAACAAAGTTATTTATATTAATTTTCAAAAAAAGAAACCGTTGATTCCATTTAAAATGCTGGCCGTTTTATTTACGTTATTCGTCTACATAAGGAACTTATTCTACATCAGTTTATTAATTAGTTATACAGTTGGTGAATCTATTATTGTGTTGTTATTTTATATATTAAATTGCACAGTATCCACTGTAGAAATTACCTACACTGTACTGAAAGTTATCTATGAAGACTTTGGGATATTCGTGCTAGACATTGTGGACAAGCTGAAAACTGTTATAATTTTATCCCATACAGTTATCGAAAAGATATTCTCATTAGATGCAGCAGTCAAGTGGGTGCTCAACGATTGTATTTTAAGTTTATTTTATAGAATCGGCCAGTTCTTGGATAAGATATTTGCACTGTTACACAACACCTTGTATGCTTTCAAAGAATTATTGGTTTTAATTGGATCTGGAGTTTGGTTTGCAATAACTTTAATCCCATTTTCATTATCGTTTGGAGTCTCATTACTATCTTCTATAATTAAGCAATTTATTTATGACACCTGCATTCTTGCAGGTGAGAGCTTTATAAAGCTAAAAGCCTTCCTTTACTATTTGATTGATTTTCCTGCTCATGTTATTTGTGGTTTAGTTTGTTTTACCTGTATAATTGTTTCAGTTCACAAGTTCCGCAGATACCTGTATAGGAAATTGACCAAATGTTTATTGACTGTCTGGAATAAGACTGTATTTAAATTGAGAGATAAACGCAAGAAAAAAGAAGTTGTCCAAAAACTTGCTGTTGAAGAGTCTGAAAATGCCTGTTGCGTTATTTGCAGGGAAAGACTGAAATGTGTAGTTATTTTACCTTGTAAGCATTTATGTTTATGTACAGAATGTACAAATGTCATGCATTTATTCAGAAGGCGCTGCCCGATCTGCAGGACGTTCGTCGAAAACACGTTGACTGTTTATGTATAGCCTACAGTTAATGTAGCAAGAAGACATTGTGATATACTGTTTACAATTTACTGCCAAATATGACTTTCGATTTTGAAATGTGTTTCCTGTGTAATTGATTGATTGAATAAATAATTTTATATTTTATTGATGTTTAAAATTAACATCTTGTACAACTATATCAGCGGATCCCTCTTCTATATTATTACAGATGAAAATGATAATTTTATGCAAATACAGTGCAACCTCGCTTAAGTAGCGATGTTTCTCATAACGAGTGACGATGAGAAGAGAAGTCTAGGATTGCGCGCCTGCTACATCATTTTTAAAACTTGTGTACACATATGTGTGGAACGGCTAAACTCGTTAACCGAGGTTTCTTCAATTCCTGCTCTCACCTCTTCCTGAAGGGAATCCTAATGCTACGTCGTACAAACGGACTTATCCTGTTCTGGGATCTAGTGTCAATTGCCCATTGAAATAGTTGACTTTTTGCCAGGAGGACCAAGTCATGAAAATTTTGTTGTATGGCCACAGCTATGGCGCACTTATCAAATCCTTAGTACACTGGCAGCTCTATTGAAGTACAAGCGCCAAATAATTTAAAATTTGAAAATTTCTTATAAAATTCCATACAAGTTTTACTATTATTATACTATTACATACAAGCACAAACTACACATATATCTTTATAGAACCTGTAATTATCCAATGCGTTTTATTAATATCTTCGATTTACATTTCAGGCATTGACAAGTGATGAATAATTAATCCTTTCATTCTATATTAATTTATTAAATATAAGTATTGTGACGTAAGTATTGGTTAATTCTTGAATAATTAGCAAAAACACATCATATTGAGGTTAAATTGCTTTGTTTTGGTGTAAAGTTTCATCGACAACTCTTTAGGAGGCGCCACTCGATTTTCAAATTTGCGAGGGTACGCAATTATTATTATTGTATAGAAATGTTAAATTTTGTTCTTTTTTTGTAAATTTACAATAAATATTATAATTATAATACCAAATACACCTCTATAATTATTCAGATCCAGTTGTTTTTGCAACAACAGCTATACCATAGCAATAGTAATGGTATATTAATTCAACTGACATAAGTTATAATTATCTTACTAATGTTAATCTTAAATTCTAGAACAACAAGGGAGATCCCTGAGCAGGAAAAATAAATTGTAAAAATTCTAAATATTTATTTTTGTTAAGTTTATAGAAAATTTGGGCTCTAGGTGTTTGTAGTGGTAGCAGCGTGAAAAAGCGGAGAACTCAGTAACTAGCGAGTGTGGTCCCCCTCATTTGAATCAGTTTGAAAATACTGTTTTGTTACATGGTAAGTGGTCAAAGTAAGCTTAACATAAGCTAAGTGAAGTGTATTAAAAAGATGAGTATCCTAGTACAAATGCAGGAAATTTTATTACTCTACATAGTGAACTTCTGTATATTAAATAGTTATATATTTTGTGAATGTTTTACTCTGTTGTTATGTTACATATTAAAATGTAATATATCCACTTTGCAAATTACCTACACTGTACTGAAAGTTATCCTCAATGACTTCAGGATATTCATGACCATGTTTATCATTACATACTACATAATCATATCAAAGATATTATCATTTGATGTACATTTGAACACCTTAAATGCTTTCAGGGAATTAATAATTTTAATTATAATTGGAATTTGCTTATTATTTTTATTACGGTTTGGTATCTCATTATTATCTTCCATAATTAAGCATTTTATTTCTGGCTGCCGTATTTTTATAATTGACCTGAGAGCCTTCCGTCACTCTAGTCTTCAAATGCCACCACATCCTTTTGGTGGTTTAGTTACTGTATTTATTTTTGTTCACAAGTTTCAAGTGATGTGTGTTATACTATTGATGAATAGTTTACTAAGTGTCTGGAATATGACTATAACTAAATTGAATGTTAAATTTTTGAAAAAAAAAGTTATCAAACAGTACGAAAATGTTTGTTGCGTTGTTTGCTATGAAAATCAGAAATGTGTTGTTATGTTACCTTGTAAGCATTTATGTCTATGTAAAGAATGTAAAAACGCCATGCATTTATTGAGATATCGCTGCCCGGTTTGCACGACGGATGTCAAATACACATTAAATGTTTATGTATAGCTTACAGATAATTGTTTACAATTTACTACCAAATGTGATTTTCTATTGTGTATAATTGATTAAATAAATAATTTTATACTGAATTGATTTTCAATTGTTTTATTAAATAGTGATTTAAACCTATTTACCAATATTCGATATTATAAAAGTGACTATCACATGTTTATTTATTACCAATTTGTATTTATATATTTGCAACACTGTTAAAATATTAACAACTAATATATACATATAGCAACAGTCTATTCGGTAACTTTTTATCATTTCTGGGAGAACAATATCTTGTATATTATTACGGATGAAAATAATATTATTTCATGTTCTGCACGACAATCCGTATCATCTGTATTTCGTTAAGTCTATTTCACTTCCTGCTCTCGTCTCTTCTTGGAGGCAATCCTATCGCTACGTCTTAGAAACGGACTTTTCCTCTTCTCACTGCTTGTCTCCTTGGTTGAGTAATACCATCTACCTACACTACCATCCCACTGTAAAAAAGAAAAACATCTTAATAATTGTAACTTATTAATGTAATACATGCATGGCCAAATTGAATTAATAATAAAAAGTTAATTCGTTGTTGCTTAAACTAAATAGATAATGCAAAACTTACTGAAGAAGTTAATATTTCATTTTTACTCGGATGCCAAGAAACGTCTCGTACACAAGATGTATGCTCCCTTTCGTCCATTTTAATTTTTCCCGTCAATGCGTCGTAAACTGAAACAAGTAAATGATGCGATTAGTTATTCCCCATAATATGACCATGAATAAACTGAAATACTTACTGACTAGCCTACCTCCCCCACAACCTGTGTAAATAAACCTCTGTCCTGTAGTTTCCACAGGAGAAAACTTGCATCGCACCAAAGTTCTAGTAATTATATGACCCCTGTACGTCATAACAGAAGTATCTCCATCCAGTCTATCCTTAGTGTTATACACTGCAAGTAATCCTTAGTAATATTTATATAGTGTTAAATAAAATGTTATGTATCATAATTACGTCTTTTCGGTACGCCTTGCCACCTGTAATCCCAGGACTGCGAGTGTACAGCTCGCAACGTGTTTTCAGCTGCGCAATCACTTGAAAACACGCGAACATCCCATAACTTTATGCTCTGATCCTTGCTATTGGAAATCAAATGTCTTCCATCACCCTTAGAAGATATGTACGTTATACCATCCATGTGACCTGCCAACATTCCAACTGGTTTCGGATCGTTTTCATCGATCCACGTTCTTCGATCCCACACTTTGATTAAACCATCATCGCTCCCACTGTAAATAATCTGCGAGGAGTCGTCCGCAAACGCCACGCTGTTCACATCGAATTCATGGGCACAAATCTTCAATTAATAAACGCTATTATTATAGTATCCAGATCATCTTATATTGCGAAATTTACCTTCACGGTTGTAGCCTTAGCTTCTCTATCATAAATGTAAAGTATTCCATCGTTGGCTCCACCCATGATTTCCTTTCCATCGGAACTAAAAGATAACGAGAATGTACAGAAGCGGCGTACGCTATTTAAAAGGCACAGTGGTTCTTGTTTCTCCGGATCGCCGTTCACTGAACATATATGCACTAAAAGGAAACATGTCATGGTATAAGTATTTGATCAATATTTTCCTAAATAATAAACTTACAGGTTGTCGACCAAGTGGAATAAACAAACTCCTCTCCATTAGGACTGAATGCAACGTCGATTATACTCCACCCTATATCTCTGGCTTGAAATTCCCTGAACAGTGTATATTTTCCACCATCAGTTTTATAGACACGAATTTGCTTATCTGAAAAGAACAATTCTCATAATGGAATTCACATCAATTCACCAATTTAAACTACCTTGAGCTGCAGTAATAAAATATTTTCCATCTTTTGAAAACTGCCCGCAGAATACTTTGTCTCTATAGGTGTCCATTTTCTCCATTTTATTTGGTAAATAGTTATTATAAATTTGACACCTGCTGGCTCTAGAGAAATGATTATTGGGTAACTGCCCAATCTGAAAATAATTCAAAAATTACAAAAATGAATCACTTTGCTAAGAATTATGTACTTACTTCTCTGTTTGATAGCAAAGAGGCAGTGTTTGGTACAGGTCTCAAATTTCGTCGTTTATTTGTGCTGGTTGTATTCAATTTGGTTGAATAGTAGAAATCACTGGCCTAAAATAAAATGTAAAAGTAATTAGCAAGATTTAAGCAGGTGTTTTATGCATTTTAAGTACATCTAGTTTCATTGTATTGGGTTTGTGCTTCAATTTGGGAGGTCCTCCACTGTAGTAATCAGAATTTGCATCATAACAAACAGGCAATCTATTGTTGGTGTATCTACTCAGCAGTCTCTGGAATATCTCTGCATAATAGGTAGCCTCAGACTCATCATCACCGGATAGAGAACTTGATGCAGAGGAATCATTATAATCTCCCATGATTTTGTAATAATAAAATGTCTAGAACTGAAATAAAACTACGTTTTAGGTTAAAACTTCATTACTTTAGAAATAAACAGTTCATCTTTGCAAAATTGTTAATATCTTTACAATGCTCTATATACGCTTTTGCTATTGTTGCAAAACATTTGCATAATATAACACTTACAGGAAAGGGGGGCAAGTTGGAGTCAAGAATATCACTTGATTCTATGTGAATTGCTTTTTTGAACACTGTCCACGAGTAATTAATGTATGTTACGTCCATAAAGGGATGAAAAGTTATGATTGACAAAAAAAAACAACAGCCCTTATACACATTTTCCCTGGATTTTCCTGAATTACGTTTTACTGACAACAGGTAGTACCAACCTTTGGGACCAAGTCATATATATAATTTATTGTATGGCCACTGATGTGGCGCAGTTATCGAATCCTTAGTACACTGGCAGTTCTATAGGTAGTATCAGCGCCAAATAATTTAAATTTTGAAAATTTCTTATAAAATTTCAAACAAATTTTATTATTATTAACATATAAATCTTTATAAAACCTGTAATTAACCAATGCGTTTTATTAATATCTTCGATTTACATTTCAGGCATTGACAAGTGTTGAATAATGAATCCTTTCATTCAATATTTATCTAAGGTACATTTATTAAATATAAGTATGGTGTCATATGTATTGGTTAAATCTTGAATAATAAGCAAAAATACATTATATTGAGATTTTGTTGCTTTGTTTTGGTGTAAGGTTCCATCGGCAACTCTTTAGAGGGCGCCACTCGATTTCCAGATTTGCGAGGGCACGCCACCACACATCGTCTTTGGTCGCCTGACCGTCTTTGGACGGACATTGCGAACAATAGGTAAATAAATAACTCTGGTTGCACCTAAACTTCGATACACAGAAATTGATGCAATTCATATACAGTGGAACCTCGCATAACGAGCATTTCGCTTAACAAGAAAAATGACTTGCAGAATCGTGCGTCTGCTAGATCATTTTTAAAACTTGTGTACACATATTATGTGTATTTTTCAATATATTAACCATCTTAGATTTTCTTTGTCATCTTTGTTTATAGCGAACTATACTTTGTAAATACAACTTGCGTTTGTTGTAAATAAAAAACACAAATTGTGTCCAATCATTATTATAATATATAAACAAACTATGTACGTTCTTTTATATAAACAAATATGAAAAGTATACATATTTTGTATGAAATTGAATACTTGCATACTGTTATGTATAACCGTTATTGTTTATATTATGTTAGCCCTTATTATTTTATACATGTTTATGTATGTAAGTCATTAAAACTTAGAACAAATAGTACTTAGGAAGATCCCATAACTAATCATTGTGTAAGGACTATTCTTAATCACTATTGTTAATCGCCATTTTGTGCACAAACTCATAGGTCCAATCAATAATGACCTAATGAAAGTTAGGTAGTATCTCCCCTTACCAAATGTTGCATAGTGGGATGCCAATTCACTACCATATAATAGGATGTTTATGTAATACAGGGCGAGTCCTAAAGAGTCAGTGTTAAATTCATAGTCCTAGCTAGTTGCTAGTCCAAGTTAATTTTAGTCTTAGAGGAGAGTCCTCCTGAGTCCTAGTTAGATTCATAAAAACCCTAGTAACAAACCTAGCAACTGGAATCTAGACATAGAAGTTATTAATAATCTTATAGTGAATAATAAAGTGTTTATTATCATAAAAACTCCAACATCACCTCTAGCATTCTATAAAACCTCCACTAGAACTCCACAACGACATTACTACGAGATATTCCACAGTATCCATAGATATTTGAAGCCAAAGAATAAAAAAAGTAACTATAGATATGGAAAGTAAAATCGTAAAAAATCGAGAGGAAGTTATACTTTTTATTATCCTTTTCTTACCCTCTTCTATGACCATTTATTCAATAATTGAGAAAACACAGCAACAATAAAATCCAAAAACTCTATATTGACAGCATTTTAACACTACTAGAGCATTCGCACAAAAATCCTGTTGGTATATATTTTTTTAAATACAAATATGATTTTTCATAAAAATATATACAAAAACAAGTATTATTTCAGTATTTTCACGTGTAAACATTGTATTTTTGGACAACGTTTAATATACCAAATAAACCAAACATTATTTTCAATCCTTGCAACGAAAATGTGAAGAAAAGAATATACAACTGTCAGAGTTGACAGCCTTTTGGTCAAAAGTACCAATAAAAATTTGTAATTATTATATAATAAAAATTATTTATTAAAATATGCAAGAAACCGTTATTTTGTGCAATTCTGTTTTTATTATTAATGGTGTTACAAATGCTTTTTCGATCTTTTGCAGAAACCTGTAGAAAGTATCTTTATTGGATTTGTTGTGGATAATTATAAATATAGAACATGAACTCCAGTGGCGTAACTTTCATTTGATCTAAATAGCATCTAAGTTTATCATGAAAATGAAGCATACTTATACTGAAAATATTTAAATAACATTTGTAAAAAGTTAAAAACATAAAGTTAAAAAATTAAAAAAAAATTATTGCTTGGGTTAATAGAAAATAATGTGCAAAATTTTATCGAAATCTTTCAAGTCGTTTAGAAGATACGAATTATTTTGCTAAAGAAGTTTGTTTACACAAAATGTTTGAATCACTAAAAATCACAATTTTTTATGCAGGTATTTGCATATATGTAATATTATGTTATTAATTGTTTCAATAATACTACAAAAAAAGTAGTATAGAAAATAATTGTGAAATGGATGTTTATTTGTTTGTCTCAGGCGTCGGCAACCCGTGGCTCCGGATCTGTATGCAGTTCTTTTGATGAGAAATTGCGACTCACATCTGTGGTTATGGTGGCTACATTAGAAAATGTATTTAATTTACTAAATAAAGCAATCGTAATGGAACTTGCGGCTCCGTGCTAAGAAAATATTTTTAAAATGGCTCTTTGATCCAAAAAGGTTGTCGAACCTTGGTTTACAGTATAAGTAATCAAAATGTATATATATATACTAAATTAACATTTAATCGTTAATACTTCAATGACATTTATATTAATCACTAGACTAAATGGGCTATAACTTTGACATACGTCTCGAATATATCTGGGACTGATTACCACCGTATTTCACAACTCAATCGCATATTATGATTTGTCCTGTTTGCTCCCTAAACTCTGGATGAGGCGCAAAATAATATGATTAAGAAAGTAAAATCAACTTCCAAAATATGACTGGGCTAAAAAGGATTAGTGTTGCATCTTTTTTTTGTTAATCTACGTGTTCATTTAAACAGTAATTGCTTAAACAGTATTGATTTTTTATTAGAGTAAAATAAACCATTACCTCCCAATTTTTTTATGTTGAGTTATTTAGTCCTAATATTGTAGCAATCCTAGCTATACGAAATCTTAAGCTTAAACTTTCATATAGTCGTAGTATGCAGAGGAAACTAAGCTTTCGTAATTAGGTTATTAAAACATAATCATCAAGGATGAATGTATGCATCTATGATAATTAAGATGCAAATCCTGGTTGTATAAACAAATATTTTGTTATTGTATTGAATGCGTTCATATAAATACAACACGCCCACGTTGAAACGCGTGCATTGATTTACTGTAATTAGTTCGGTGAGCTGCGAAGTGCGTGATTGGAAAACTGGATTTCTTGTCATTCTGAAATGCCCAGTGCGAACAACAACAACAGCATTCATTGCGTTCAAAATGATCCGCATTGCGATATCAATTAAGTGCATTTAATTAGTCACCTGTGATCTGAACGGCTGGTAACTCTATAATTTTGCGGTGCACTTTCATTTGTTTGCTGTTCTTTTATTTTGCCAGATGATTATAGTATTCTTGTGAAAAAAAAACTATACCGTTCCTTTAATTAACTTACATATTTATGTAATCCGATTTAATCGAAAAACTATAATAATTTCTCAATATTATCATATGAATGAAATGATTAGGTCACTATTTCTGCTACCCTTTTTGTGTTTATAATGAATCTATTTAAAATGTCTAATTATTGCACACCATTCAATATGAATTTGTTCATTTGTTATAGATTATAGCATTCTTTTGAAAAAAAAAACATAAGATTTTAACAGTAAAACTATAATCATTTTTTTCATTATTCTTCATTGAATATAAATTTATTAAAATTGAAACAAATAATAATATAAAATCATTTAATATTTATTTTTTTATTGCAACTTTTAATTTTATCATTACGAGATACAAATTATAATTGAAGAAATAAAAAATTTTTTTAGCAAATTTGATTGTAATATAATATTTCTTGAATTGCAACGAAACGTGTCCAGCGCATTTGTTATTTTTGCTTTAACATCTTGTTACATGTGATAATCACTAGATTACATATATATTTAAAATGTTAGTATAATTGATACACTGTTGTTGATTGTTGTTTATTTATTTTAATGTTAGTAAAAGAGACTGATTGACGTGCGATTATACAATAAAAAAACAAACGTGTTTCCTAGTTCTTGTATAATATTCCAGGTCACATTGCAGTTTTAATACATCTATATAAAATAGATACAATGAAAATTGAGACAAAAATTAACATTTTTAAATGATGGAAGGATTATTGTTTTGTAGGTGCAAAACTCAAGAACAATTACAAAACTAAATAGAGAAATTAATAAATAAGATGCGTTCCACATTTTTTTTTCGTTAAACACTTCGTTTTCAGAAGTAATTCAACTATCAGAATGTGTATACATACGTTCTTTATACGTAAAGAAAATTTAATGATTTTTATTTTCAAACAAAGAAAAGTTTTGTAAAGTTGATTGTGTTGATTTCTCTTTATTGTAATTTAGGATCATCTTTGGTTGTTAACATTTTTTAATTTAATCTTCATTTACTTTGTTTTTGTTACTAACAAGGTTTTATAAATCTTTTAACTATCTTCTGCATGCGTTCATCAACGTTTTCGAAATCTATAGGTTGAACCATCAAGATAACTCATTTTTTGGATGTTATTTACATCTACTAGTACAACTTGTATTCATATTTTAATTCCAATAAAGTATTTCATAGCGATTTTGTTCCAAAATACTATCAATGTTTCTGTATATCAAAGCTTCGTTATCAGAGGTAACGTTATCCGAGATATGAGTGTATACTAAGTACAGAATATTGCAAAAAGGTAAGTTCACTTTCATCGGAATTATAGGTATTTAGTTTTTTTTATCATCCAATTTAAATTACAACATTCAACTAATAGCATATTTTAATTACTACTTAGATCATGATAAAACTGCAAAAAAAGTGTTAAATAAAACATTTTAATTTTGATAAAACTTGTTAAGTATCTA